CACCCCAATAAATGTAATGCAAAAAAATGTAAAATAAAAAGTGAAAATAATTTTGGCAATATAGTTTAGTGAACCCCATATACCAGAAATACTTATTTCAACCTGTGATCAATGTAAAAATTAATATTTCAGCTTCACTTTGTGCGAAGCCTTGGACATCCTGCAGCCACGCACAGGCCTGACACGCAGGGCACTGCTCTGGCCTCCAGGCCTGACCCCTCGCCCCCTTCCCTCCAACAGGCGGCGCACAGCCTGGACCGGCCGCAGCGGGGTGTCGCCTGCCATTGGCTCAGGACCTCTGTCCCTAAAAGGACCTGTCAGTGGACCCAGGGCAGGTCCGCCGCTGCACTTCCACCGCCGCGCCGCCGGGCGTCGCTCTTTCACGCGCAGCTGAGACGTGGGCGGGACTTCCGGTGGGGGAGGAGCACTGGTGGAGGGAGTAGCCTGGGTGGATGAAGGAGCGCCAGTGGGGGGAGGATCGCGGGTGGAGGGAGGAGTGTAAACAAAGGCCAGGATTTCTAAGCCCAGTTTTGTCTGGAAACCAAGGCTGAGATACTGGACGCCAAGAATCGTGGTGTGACCCTAACTCCCAGGGGACTCACCCCAGGCCCAGCTTCGGCATCAGTGTTCCTGAGAAACAACACATGCGAGTGTGGATCATGCGCTTTGGAGACCACTGTGTCTGGGCAGAGTGATGTGGGGCTCGCAGGGTGAGCCGCCGACTGGGAGGGGGTCACTGAGACCCTTCACTGTGTAGGACTGTGCTTGATTGAGGAACAAGAGCTTTCATTAAAACCAGCGTCAGGTCCAAGAGGATGTGAAAATCTGGAACGGCAGCAAATAGGAAGTCCCAGGAGTGACAGGGACAAGTGCTCTGGAATGCGGACTCTGAAAAGGAACCACGTGGCATCAGAACACACGTTGCCCGGCGGCGTGGCTCAGTGGTTGAGCATCGACCTGTGAACCAGGAGGTCACGGTTCAGTTCCCAGTCAGGGCACGTGCTGACCCAGGGCAGGCTTCACCGCTGCTCTTCCACCGCGTTGTGGGCTCAGCCCCCAGTAGGGGGCGTGCAGGAGGCAGCCGATCCATGACTCTCTCTCATCATTGGTGTTTCTATCTTCCTCTCCCTTTCTCTCTCAAATCAATGAAAACATACTCAAAAAAAGAACACACGTGGGTTTTAGGTCTTGAGGTTTTGGTGCCACTTCAGTCCGAATCACTTAACAACCAATCCAGATGGAGGAACAGTCGAGCTCCCGGGTGTGCTGATGTGAATAAACCTTTGGATGGATGACTGTCTCTTGGTGATTCGTCCTCGGACTGAGTTCAGTGGTGCCCCCCAAATCCATGAGCCTGCGACTGGGACCTTGTGCGGCGTCATCAGGTTAAGGGCTCACGCTGAGGTAGGGGGGCCCTAGCCCAGTGCCTGGAGTCCTGCTAAGAAGAGAGAAGTTTGGACAGAGGCGCAGACCTTGGGGAGACGGCCTTTGAAGCTGGAGGCAGCGATTGTAACGACGCGCTTACAAGCCAGGGAGCGGCGAGGGGCCTGGGAGCCCGCGGGAGTGACAAGAGGCAGGAGGGCCCTCCCCCAGAGCCTTCCGAGAAGGTGGCCCCGTGACACCTCGACTTTGCTTTCTAGCCCCCAGGACCAGGAGAGGACAAGTGTCTGCGGTTGGAAGCCCTGAGTTGTGGCCGTGGGTTGGGACGGCCGCAGGAGACGGAGGCAGCCCTCGACTTCTCTGAGATCCGTGTTCCAAAGACAGCCTTTCCTTCTCCGTCCGTGCCCATGCCGTGCCGTGAAGGGCTGTGCCCTGGTGTTTCTGAGAGCAGCTCGCGTGTTACAATTACAGTGTGTGGGGCCGTGGAGGACGGTTAGGGGCTGTCATTGCCAGTGCAGGACCCAGGGAGGGTGGCCCACCACGGCCTGTGCAGCTGCCCTGTGCCCCGTGCCCCCTGCCCTGGTGGCGGCCTTGCCCTGGCAGTGCCGCTGCTTCGCGGGACAGGAGTTGCAAAGGTTTGTCCTTTTCCTGTCGGGAGGTCAGTGGTGACCGTTGGCCACAGGCACCGTCTACCCGGGCAGGCGCGTGCTGCAGGTCCCCGCCAGGTCCCGTGGCTTTGCCAGCCCTTCAGGTGCTTCCATGATTGCTCAGCTCTTTGTTTTGAGTGTGGACCCGAACCCCGAGGAACTCGAAGGAGGAAGACACCCCCACGCAGTGCAGGGCTGCGAGGGGCTTGTCTGTGGCCCAGCCCTGAACGATGAGTGATTCCTAGTGATCGTTCCCTCACGCTCCTTCCCGGGCCCCTGACGGGTGGTCCTGGGCGTGCAGGCGGCTGCTGTCCTTGTGCTTGGCAGGTGCAGTTTCCAGGGGTTTGGAGTTTACAAGACACGCTCTGCCCCACGCGGTGTCACAGAGGCGGGCTGGGTTTGGAGCCCCTGAAAGGGGTGCTGAGAAGCAGGAGTGTTTCCCATCATGCCTCAGGCCCTTCGTGACCCGACCCCTGCTTAGTCCACGCCACATCTCCCAGCGCTCCTTGCTTGAACTCTGCTGAGCAGGGCTGCTGTCCGTGCCGGGTGATGCTCATCAATTTCATTCTCATCAGACCAGCAAATCCTTGCCCTCCCATTCCTCCCTTTTGCCTGGTCGTTATTATTTTTTAACTTGAGCAGGTCATGGCAAACCTATGACACGCGTGTCAGAGGTGACACACGAACTCATTTTTTTGGTTGATTTTTCTTTGTTAAATGGTGTTTAAATATATAAAATAAATATAAAAAACATAAGTCTTTGTTTTACTATGGTTGCAAATATAAAAAAATTTCTATATGTGACACGGCACCAGAGTTAAGTTGGGGTTTTTCAAAATGCTGACACGCCGAGCTCAAAAGGTTCGCCATCATTGAACTAGAGGCCCGATGCATGAAATTCATGCACTGGGGGGGGGAGGTCCCCAGTCTGGCCTGTGCCCTCTCACAGTTCGGGAGCCCTGTGATTGATCTCCCCAAAGAGGTAGACCCTGCTCACCCATCCGGGGCTCCTCGATGGATTGCCCCAAAGAGGTAGACCGGAGTCAGGGGCCCTGCCCCTGGCATTGCTGCACAGAGCTGCTGGGACCTGCCCCCGCGGCTCTGTGCGGAACCGCTGGGACCCCCGGCGTCGCCACGCAGAGCCGCCGGCAGGGTCAAGTCCCCGCCCACCCGTGTGCCGGTTTGCACGCGCGCCTGCTGCACATGCAGCCTCCTGGTGATGGATTGTTACAGTGTGAGGGCGTGAGGGCGTGACGACCACATAGGCTTTTATTAGTATAGATTTGTAAACTTCCCTCCAGTGAACCTCCCTGTGTTCATGCGCCTGGACCGATGTGCCTTTGTGTGCACCAGACTCGTGTGCGCTGCCGTGTGCTGCTTATTTTCTCCATAGACGTGAGCTCTGCAGTCTAGGCCATGTCCTGTCCTCTCGCCGGCCCTGTTCGGGTGGTAAAGGGTGGTGATCCCGCTGTCTCCTGGGCTAACCTAGAGGGAGGGGCGCTTTGGTCACGGTCTCATCCCGTGAGACGTGGTCTTGCTGGTGGACCCCGCCCGCTGCACACCTGGTTCTTTCCTGTGCATTTGGCTGATGCCGTCTTAGAAATTCCTTCTGTGTGAGGCGGGATGAGTGGCTGGTGGAAAGGCCTCTGACCAGGAGTCCGTGGTCCGGGTTTTTGCCTCCTTTCCTGTTAATCCCCGTGGGACCTCCGGGCATGTCGCTCCCGCCCCATCAGTTTCTGCACGTGAGGCCTGAGGGAGCGGGTTAGTCCTCCTGGCTGTGACCTGCGGGAGGATCTTCGCTTGGCCTCATTGATGAGAATGAGAGGAGGCCTTTTCAGTATTTTGAGTTTGATCATTTATTCACTCATCCAATATTTACTTCACCCATACTGGGTGCCAGCAACAGTTTCAGGTGCTGGAGACACATCAGAAGGAAACAGACCGGAATCTGTGCTGTCCCCGGCGTGCAGTGAGCAGGAGGGGCCGGGCCGAGCCGAGCTCCGTCAGGGGGTGACTCGTCCAGATAGACAGCAGGGACGTGGGGTGGGGAGGCCAGAGGTGGGTGCAGTGGGCCACCCAGGGACAAGATGTGCAGAGGAGAGGGGTCCAGGCAGAGGGCCAGCAAGGGCAAAGGCCCTGGTCGGGATCAGTGCTGGTGTGTCTAAGAGCAAAGGGCCCTGAAGACAGTGCACGAGGGAGGGAGGGGGCGTCCTGGGGCACAGGGGGCGGGGCTCGTGGTCACAGGAAGGACATGGACTTTCAGGCTTTTATTCTGAGAGAAGGCCCTTTGTGGGCTCCTCGGTGACGAGTGGCGTGACCTGTGCTGGGTGTGGCGGGGTTCTCGGGGCTGCTGGGCTGAGCGGGAGACCAGCTGGCGCTGCGAGCACCTGGGGAGGGTGAGGTGATGGTGGCTGGGTGCGCAGCAGCAGGTGGAGGAAGACCCAGGAGAGGTTCAGTCTCCGACTCCGCTTGGCTCCCGAGGGGCGGTGATTTCTGCAGCTGCAGTCGGCACGCTCGCCACCCTGACCGTTAGCTGCCAGGACGAACCCTCCCAGGCGGGCGAGTCAGCAGCCTTCCCGTGGGCCCTGCTTGCTGTGCTGGCGGCCTGCCTGGCGTGTGCTGCTGACAGAGGCCGGCTGGCAGCAGGGCCTCCCTGGGCGACATTGGTGAGGGGGCTGGCGGCAGGAAGGCCCGAGGGAGGGTGGCAGGGCCGTGGGTGCCTGGGGTGGAGCTGAGCGGGAGAGGCTCACAGTGTCGCGGCCCTGACAGCTCAGCCACAGCTGCCACAGCCACGAGGGGCCTGAGCAGGTGAGACAGCCAGTCAGCTCACAGAGCACGGCGGGAATCGTGGCGGAAACTCATTTACTCAGATGGCTGAGGAGCACCTCCCACGGGCCAGGCGCACGGCATGCTGGCCAGGAGGCGTGGCCTCCAGTGGCCACAGGGGAGAAGGAGACAGTAAACACGGAGACACGCCGACGTCGGAAGTGCTCCGAAGGCCACGCTCTGGGAACGCACGTGGGCAGAGTCGCTGGGCACTGTGGTGGAGGGTCATGTCCTCCCAGAGGAGGCCACACAGGCTGAGACCTGGCGTTGGAGAGGAGCCGCTCAGCGATGTGGGGTGGCTGCCCCACTCCTGGCAGGGACTCGCCCGCGAGGAGACCAGTGGCCCCGGAGGAGGAAGCCAGGAGGGGAGCCAGCCCAGAGCACGCAGGCTCTGAGGTCCATGGAGAATTTGTGGGTCTTGGTCCTGAGAGCCATGAGCCAGGACCGAGGGAGGTCCTGGGAGAGGGGCGAGAGGAAGTGGCCGCGGCTGGGGTCCCAGAGGCGTGGACAGACAGGCTGAGGCCACACTGCAGGTGGGTCTCGCGGGGTTTGCTGGTGGCTGGTGCTGGGCGCTCGGGACCACCAGGGTCTGGCCTGAGGATGGGTGTGGTCGGCGGAATGATGGCCCCAAGGATGCCCACGTCCTCATCCCTGGAACCTGCGGGGCGTCATGTTACATGGCAGGGGAGTCAGGGTGGTGAGACCTTGGTGTGGCGCGGGCCCCCTGCTCTGGGGGTGCTGGCTCGGAGGAGGAAGGGGCCAGAGCAGAGGGTGCGGTGGCCTCCGGAAGCGGGGCAGCCTTCTTCTTACAGCCGGCAGGGGCCTCGGCCCCTCAGCCACAGGAGCGTGCGCCCCGCCAACACCTGAGTGAGCAGATGGTGCTCCGGAGCCAAGGGCAGCGCTGAACCTGGACTCGGTGCGTGGGGCTCGGGTTCCGACCTCAGAACTGGAGTACACGTGCCGCTTAGTTTGTGGTCCTTTGTAGCAGCGGCCACAGCCAGGCCGGGTGGGGAAGGGGGAGGGTCAGGGGCGTGTGCCTGGGGAGCGGGGAGGGTTGCAGGTAGCCCTCTGCCCTGCAGAGTCCTGCCGCGAACGTGGATGGGGGCCCCGGTCAGTCTTCACGGTGGCGGGTCCCTCACTGGCAGCCTCTGCAAAGCCCCGCCTGCTGGGGCCGGGGGCCGAGCGGACACCCCGCCTCTGAGAAGCTCTGAGCTGCGGCCCCGACCTGCGCGCTCGCGTGTTTTTATCAGCCTGTCTGCCTGCTGTGCTTTCTGACAGCTGTTGGCCTGGGATTTACTCCCGTGTTCCTGTGGCAGGGACCCAGGAGCCTGTGCCCTGGCGGGGGTGGCGTGTTCGAGGGGGACCTGGGAGCACCAGTGGGTGGCTTTTGCCCTGTTCTCAGTTCCTTCTGCTGGCTTGTTTTCCAGCGCCCACATTTCATGCCACTGATGCTCTGGGGGCGCTTGAGGGGTGCGATGAGCAGCTCGCTCTCGGTCCCCTCCTCTCCCCCTCCCCCCCCGGTTCCCCCCGACGTTCCCTTTGCCGATGAGAGGAGGGCATCAGGAGGCCCAGAGGGTGTGGGGCAGCGGGCTCTTCCCTTTATGGGGCCCCACGCCATGCGCCACGGGGAACTCCCGCTTTGAGTCTCCCCAGTCTTTGTCCCCCCATTCTGTAACACGTTCCCTCTTTTCTGGGACTTAGTGGAGATGCCGGCCAGGTCTCAGGGTGGAAGGCGCGGAGTCTCAGTGGCTCAGAGTCATGGAGGCTCCTTGTGCACTGCGAGGACGAGGGCTGGACACGCGTGAGTGACTGATGGGGCCACGCAGGGAGCGTGC